AAAGGACCAGAATAACTTTTAATATATTGAAATACAAAGAATATTACCAAATTATGTGGCCATGCAATAGCCTCACCAATAGCATCACCAACAGTGGTTCTAGAATCTGATATCGATCGAAGTAAGTCTTCATCCATAGCTATTCCAACATTAATAATGATTTCACACCAATTTTTCCCTGGTCGTACTTGTCCAATGCATTTTGATGGATCTAAGCTTGCAAGAATACCAATTGCTACATTTTTTTATGATTCAAACATACTTCTCAGACATACTTTTGCTCCAACCAACAGGAATAATTATAAATTGATAATATGAATTGCAAAATCAATTAACTACAAATCATTCACCACATGCAATTCCAATTTAATACACGAAAAATAATCAATGCTCAGATGACAAGGGAAAACTGAGGGATTACCTTTATAGGCGTCATGCTTGACGACGAGACTGAGGGACCACGAGAGGTCGAATGGGGGTGAGATGATGATGAAGTGACTCTATTTTCAGATGGAGGTAGAGCAAGAATAGTGGCTAGATCTTTGTTGGTTCATTTTTATGAACTCCGTTATCATATTTTCTTGTTGTTCAACTTTTTGCTTTAATGCATACATTTATTATGCCATGCGATGTTATGAGAAGACCTTCGTCTACGCATGTCACCGTAAACATCAGAGTATCCTTATTCTCCCACGTTTATCTTGTGCCACAACTTGAGAAAAAATGTCATTTGGGCCACTATCATTTGCATTATCTGGAAGTTCACTTATTAATTTTTTCATCTTACGCTGCACATGTAAATGATCAAATCAAACTTCTAAATTAGGCAACATTAAACCGTTGCATTATCATATTTAAAATTTCAAAATATATGTATATAAAATGAATGTACTCGCTTACGAGAGAATCTGCTACATTCGGATTAGATGACTCTCCATTTCGAGTATAGCATTTCTCAAAAAGGTCGGACCTACTTGGTTCAATTACGATAGGATCAACATGTTTTCCATCACTACTTTGTTCATCATCAACAGTAGCATCTTTCGATGCTTCTAATGTTAAAGTAGGTGACCAACAAGCCAACTTGTGGCTGTGGTCTTTCTATTTATTATTGTAATAAATAAATAAAATTCGTATTAATGATAAAAACAACTTGACATTCTATATCTTTGTCCCTTTGTCACAAGCATAGATATAGTCCTTGCAGTTATTAAAAGTACTAGTAATTGATCGTTAGGATCGTAAGATATTTACTTTAGTATTATAACTGTTAAACGTGTTCCTAGTCGAAGGGTTACGCCACCAATGAGGATATCGGCCTTTCCCATTAAGAGACTAGCACTTAGTGTATGTGTACTGCATCTCATCAGTAAACGGTGTTGTCATATCGGCATGCATAAGTGGGTGCTCGTAAGTTGACGAGTTCACTGAACTCCCTCACCCTAAAAATCTCTAAGTGGTTCTCAATAATCGAGTAGAGATATCTATGGTATAGTTGTACACCATTAGTCCTTATGACCTAGACATCACCGTGACTTCACTAAAGGACCAGCTGTATCGTGACATGTCCCTGAGTTCCACCGAGGACCACCCCAAGGGCCAGTGTTCGTGCAGTCTGAAATCTAGTGGGAGGTCTGTGCACTGTAGTCGGGGATTCGATCGCTAGAATAGTCTTGGATGTCCTATGTGTTCTCATAGTTTGTAATCTCTAAGTCTCTAGCCAGAGATGACTAAGTGATGATTAGAGAATTCGATTCTCTAAGTCATGCACGTAATGATTACAACACTTAGAACGATCGCACAGTCATTGAACTACTAAGGAGGTCTCGATGAACCAATGCCTCTAGTTCAATCGGGACATATGAATCGAAGGGATCGTACTGTACGCTAATTATATCAAAAGGTTCTTGAAGGCACTTCATTTGTATCTAGGGAATCATGACGCGTAGTTGCTAGACGCCAATCTAGATTCGTTGGGTGATTAAGATGAAACGAGCTTCATCTTAATAGTAACTCTAAGGGACGAGTTTTGACCACAAAGGGTTATGGGCACACGGCTAGCTTACACCTGAACCATCGAGGGTCACATTGCTCGTGCACATGAGATCTTTGAACTTTGAATAAACGGTCAGAGATAAAAATATTTTATCTTTGCATGATTGGAAGTCAATATGATTGAGTCCGACATTCGTGATTTGGAATTATGAATGAGAATAAGAAAAGGAAAAGAATAGGCGATCATCTTAATGGACTTTGTAAATTGGGAAGTTTCCAAATTTAGAAAGTGCACTGAATTAGGGTTTCCACTTTTAGAAAGCTGGAAATCGAGAATTGGCCCTCGTAATGACCAGGACATTATAATGATTCCGAAAATGTAATCATTACAATTTTCCGATCATTGAATTCAGAGAAATGAGCGAGTAAAGAACTGACGAGCTTAAGTTGTTGGGCCCGGTCCAACTTAAGCCCATTAGAGCTTTTATACAAGACACTATAAATACTTGATTTATAGGTCTTGCACAAATATACAACCCTAACACAAAACCCTAGCCGCTCCTCTCTCTCTCGGCCAACCTCAACCCGCGGCCACCACCGCCGCCGTCGCCACCATCTCGCCGGAATCGGCCATCCCTTGGCCGATCGTCTTGGTAGTTCTTTTCTCTTTTCGTTTCTTCCGTTTTATTCTAACTATTTCGTGTCTAGTGCCACGTTTTAGTAGATCGAAGTATACGAGGTGAAATCCGAGAGGAGGAATATCGAAGAATCGAGGAGGAGCCAACGACGCACGCGTGGTCCTCACGCGCCGCCGTTGCTCATGCGTCGCCGCTGCCACTCCGCCGTCGCCGCTCCCGGATTGCACGGATTGGTTTCTGTGGCAATCTTGCTTCGTTTCGTGCGCCTACCTCACGCTTCAAGAGGTAAAGTTTCGAATCCGTAGTTATTTGATATTGATTTAATTTGGATTAAATATGTATGTTCGTATCGTAGTATATTGTATGAATTTATATGTATTATGTAATTACATGTAATTCGTAATTTATTACGAGCATGATTAGTTGATTTAATGCGAGCATGCTAGTTGATATAATGTCGATTAAATAATTCGCATGTATGTTGTTTTTAATTTTGCTGGAAGCGCAAAGGTACGCAATTAATTGTTTACAATTATCGGGCATGTGATTATGTGATTTAAATTTGTTTAAATTTGCGTAAAAAAAAAAAATTCCCGCTACGTACACGTGTCCGATTCCCAACATCTAACTCTGTCTACAAGATAATATGTATAGTTAGTTGAATAAGTACATGATGCATGCTATTTGGAATAACTATCTCTACAAGAAAACAAACCTTCATATGATGCCTAACTTATGCAAAGCTTCGTTTTCCAGTAACATGATGCATGCTCTTGTTTCCTCTGTTATCTTTGTTTTTATCACTTACTTTCTAAATATGCAAAAAAAAAAAAAAAAAAAAAAAAAAAACTTGTGTGGATCAATAAATTACAAAGTGAATTAATCACTAGTTATATAGTAGCATTATCTTCAATTAAAATTTTATTAAAAAAAAATTCTACCTGTGCAGCATCACTACTCCAATAAATCACAGCATTTTTCCATTGATTGCAAAAAATTCTTTCATCATCAATATCAAGTCTCCTGTGCAAGTTTTCTTCCAGTGATTTGTTTCGATCAAAATAATTTGATTTTACTCTATTTTTCCAGCTCCTCCAACTCTTTGCTAAATTCATCAATGTACTATTTTCAAAGTCAGGTGCATCATAGAACTTATCCTTAATTATGCAAACATAGTGATCAAATAGTTTCAAAACATATATATTTCAATTAAATAAAGACGAGGGTTAAATCGTATTACCTTAACCAAATCCAGCAACTAGTACAATTCGGCACTACATGCCAATCTTTAATGTCAATAGGAACTAACTTGCCATTTCTAACTAATGTGCCGATAAATTCAACATATGTAATATTTTTTTAGCATCGCAATTATTATTTTGATACTTAAAAGAGTCTCGATCTTGTTCTATATAAAAATACATTTTTTATAGTGAATTCTTCATCAATTAAGAAGTGTTATTTCAATAGTGTACATACACAACATATCAATAAATTATAGATATAGTGTGATTCATAATGATTTAATTAGTTCATTAACAGTAGTATTTACAATAATTTGCTTCGTCGTTAAAATAATGTGTCATGCGGTTGTTTGCGTTCCTTAGATCAACACGTTCAACTCACTTCAAATTCATGGCACTAAAAGTACACATGTTGCGCTAACTACAAATTTAATCAAACTACATGATACTTGATTTGTAATTGTTCGAGCTAGATTTGTGAAAATAACAAATTGGTATTTTTGTTCGATAAGTTATGAAGCTCGGCTCGAGTTCAATTAAAAAAATAATAATAAAACATGTAAAGAAAATCAAGCTCATCGAGCTTGATTCATGTTCAACTCAATTAAAACTCGTTTGAGCTTGATTCAATTGCTTATCAAACCAAGTCAACCACAATTTTAAAAGATCCATAAAAAAAAAATAATAATAATAATAATCAAACAAGCATGATCAACCATTTGTTCGACTCGACATGATACGCGTACACCATACCCTACTTGAAGGTTACTAGAAAACAATTAGATAAAAATATTATAATGCATATATGTACATATTTTTATCTAATAATTAATTTGAAATTTGTATTTAACGTGGATTACAGGGAAACAAGGTACTTGTTAATATTAATAATAAGAAGAAAATTAGTAAGAAAAAAATAATTACAAACTGAACTCAGAACAACAAATAATATAAAAAAAAAATCTTATTTTTTTATTTGTAAACAAGAAAAAAAAAATATCCATGCAACATTATGTCACCAAACCCTAACCCCCAATTCATAAATAACCACAACGATAATTGCACAAAGGCAATAATTGATTAGTAAGTAAAATGACAATAAATTATCAACTATTTGCATCAATGACAAAACTACCTTTTGTTATTACATTTATAATTTTAGCAATTGAATGCAAATAGTACATTACACGAGGACTGTGGATTAATTTCAAAACTCAAAAAAAAAAAAACAGCCCCAAGTAAAAACCAAACCAAACCAATCTATGTTATTTCCCCACTAAAATCAAATCTAACTACTACATTCTATTACAAAATAACCAATGCCACAAAAAAAAAAAAATAACATCCTTGTGATCTCTCTTATTGCACTTCCTAACTACTACACACACATGATCAAACTTTTGTAATAGCTACATTTCTTACCTAGTAAGTTCTAATTTCTACCATTGGAAAAAACGGGCCCCACACAACAAACTACGCTAAAAGCACTGTTGAAGAATTTACAAGCCATCGGAAAGGAGCCTTCGAGTAGCAAAATTTGCCGGTGTTGCAAACATTAGCGCGTTTCTTCGAGCCATCAACATTTCTGATCATATGATTAATCAATGAATATCCAAAATAAAAAGATGTAAACTAATTCAGATCATTTAATTAGAACCGAACAAAAAAAAGTTCCATACCATAGTTGGGGTTCAATCGCCCGGCGAAATCGGGGTGACAGTGTGGTCGATATTGAACAAAGCCATTCATGTTATCAACATTCTTGTTAAGCGCCGAATAACCTGAAATCGGAGTAAAATAATTAGATGAATCGCAACTAGATATAAATAGTAGAGAGAAGCATGTTATACGAAAATATCAAAGATTTGCTCCTGATTTTTGCTCATAATTAAAGATTCGGGATCAAAATTATTGGATACAAAGCCAATGGGTAGTTACAGTATAACATCGATAAACTAATAACCTCGCTTAAATATTAATTTATTTGACCCCGACTAGGTGAAAACATATTAAGTTATTCTTTCGATAATTTAATATTTTGCTAAATTAATAGAATTTTGTTAGTCCCGAGCGACTGTGTTAATTTATAGAGGTTCAAATGTATTTGAATGTTTTTATTTGAAATAAAATGGCTCCATAACCCAAAAAATGAAAAGAAAAAAATGGTCAAACAAATGGCCCATTATTGCACAGAAGGGTCCCAATCTTGGAAGAGATAAAGACAGAAATGGGTCTATCTCCAAATAAAGCAAATAGATCACAAAATAAAAGCATGCCATAAAAAATCCAAAATTCAAATAATTCCAAATAAAAAAATATAAAAACAAAAGCAAGAAAATGGGAAAAATGAAAAAGGAAAAAATTAAATAAAAAAAAAAAAAACCTGGCTTCTTGCGAGAATCTGAATGAGCGTTACTGTCATTAATATTCCCGTATCTTCGAGGCAAAAACACACCTGTCCCAGCACTTTTTCTTTTCACCGCCGCACCGCCACCGCCACCGCCACCGCCAACAGATCCACCCGACAAAACCGCCGTATGACCGGACCCAACAATACGGGTCGGGTTCTGGTGGTGAATGAGCCACGCGCCTTGGCCCATTTCCCTTCCGGACCTCATTGGGTACATTTGCGGCTCACTGTACCAAATCCCACCGCTTTGTTTCGCAATATGCTGCTGCTGTAACTGCACAACCAACAATTAATATATTGTTATTACAAAAAAAAATGATTAAACAAAAACACGGGTTAATCATGCAAATTTCTAGAAAAAAAAATATTTTTTAGAAAAAATTGGAGGAGTCTCACATAAACGTTTTGAAAAGCAGAGTGGTTAGGGTTTGTGGTGGGTGCGGGTCGAAGTTGATCCAGGGTTCTCGGGTGGGGCAGGAGGCCCGAATGTTTGGTGGGTCGGGTCACATCAGCGCCGTGGAGCTTCAGCTTCGAAATCAGATCCTCAACGGCGTCCTTTGAACGGCCGCTCGACCAACTTCCGGCGTGGTCCAGTGTTGACTGAGTTTCAAAGTCGTAAGGGAACTCGGTGGGAAAGAAGAACTCGGAGTCCGAGTCAGCACGGAAGTTTTCTTTGTCGGTGAGAAAATCATCGAAGAACTCAGATGGCAACCAGAACCCAGCCCCTTGAGCTGCATCAGTACTGTCAGCCAATTCCATGGCGAAATTAGAGAGAGAAACAAAAAAGAAGAGAGAGAGAGAGTGATGAGTAGTGAGTGAGAGTGAGTGAGTGTGGTCAAGTGCTTTGAGTGATGGGTCTGCTTCCTTCTGAAGATATAATTATGAGAATTTCGGCGACCTTTGTGGGTCCCAATTTCCCAAGCCTAAAAAGTATAGAGAGAGATAGAGAGAGATAGAGAGAGAAGAGAGAGAAGGATTTAATGTTTAGAGAGAGAGAGGGGGGAATGTTGACGAAGACAGGAGGCTTGCTTTTATTAATGTTACGGCCATACGGGGGAGGGGTAATTTCGGGACTAAAAGAAATTCAAGAATCAAAATGGCCTTCGCTTTTTGGGTTCGGGTTGTACATTAAGGCCTCGTTTACTTACCTATATCGGATTACAATGAATTAGGTGAGATTGGATTAATACCCCACTGACTAATTAATTATTTAGTCAGTAAGATGTTTGATTCATTAGATTAAATCTTGTATTAAATTTGTTAAATTCTGGTATTTAATGTGAATTGTCTAAAAAATATTTTAATTAAAAAAATATTCATTAGATTAAGTATTTAAGTAAGGATAAAATTGTATTTTCCTCTTTTAATCACCCCCTACAAAATTAATCGCAGGGGGAAGGGTGCTACTAATTTAACCAAATAATAGCACTTAATTGCGGGCTTTAAGTGTAATAGCGGGCTTGACTAAATACGAATCTCGTCAACCAAACATCTTACTAACCCCTACTATTTAGTTAATAGAGGTTAATAGCACTAAGCAAACGAGGCCTAAATGTTTCAAAATCAAATTGGGAATCAGAAATCGACTTCAAACTTTTTCTTTTTTTAAGGATAAATTACGGCCAACCCTCCAAGATACGGTTAAATTACGAAAAATCCCTCATATTTAAGTAATTACAATCATCCTCTCAATTATGAATTTTTTTTAGTTCACGCTTGCGGTGTCAAATTTAGTGGAATCTTGTAGATTATGTGGAATATTCTCAGTTTGTACCTGTATTATACCGTTCGAGCTGCAAAAACAAGATGATCATAAGATGTGTCTCTTGGCTTGTAAATATCAGATTTTTATGTTGCATTTAAAACTGTATTTTTGCACAAAACAAGTTTCCACAGAATCTAGAAGATTATGTTGAATTTGACATCATATATGGATGAACATGTAAGAAGATTCATAATTGAGGGATAATTGTAATTATCCAAACATTGGGGGAGATTTTATAATTTGATCTTACCTCAGGGGTTGTTGATTGTAATTTACCCTTTTATTTAATTATTTACTTTTTTGAACGAGGAATTTTAAAGTTTTGATATGAGTGAGTGTGTGGCAAAGGGTCCTTGATTCATGCAAGAGGTTCTCTTTTTATTAATGACAAGAGCAATAGAATTTAGTCAATTTACAATTCGAAATGTACTAGGCAACTTCCACTCTAGCTACCAAATCGCATGATAAATGTAAATCGTGTTGGATTATTTATGTGTGACGAACTCGATCTATAAAATTATCTCTAGATTGTGGAGGAATGTTAAATATGTCTCAATTTGTTCCAATTTCCGATCCCAACCCGTACAGTTATGCGCACAAAGGAGTCATACCCAAAGTGATTGTTTCATACTAAATAACTTGGCTTCGCTGCAGAATGGTTAAATGGGTTATATGAACTTTTGTGTTTGTTAGCTTGCGTTTTGCAAAAAAAAAAAAAATGTGGGCGGCAATTGAATGTTATGGGCGATTGTATATCTAAGGTTAGGGTTTGTCGTCTGCGTATTTTGTACTGCCAATTTATTTTAAGATGAACGATGGAGCTTGAGGTCCTACAACATTCATGCTCGTCGGTGTTCTCTTTGTGAGATATTCGTCGGATTCTAAATGATAAATAGCAATAGTTCAAATTTAATAATATGATATTTGTACATCTACTTATATCTAATGGAAAACTATTCAAACATCCATCATGAGTTAAGCATCTAAGGATTATATATCTTTTTTCACCTAAAGGTCCTTAATTACAAAATTACGCTCATTCTTTTACATAGTTATGATAAAAAAAATTAATCTCAAAAATTGCAAAACACAAGAGTTGTAGTTTTCCATATCGACTTTTAAACGCGATGAGAATCAGCTTGATCTGATTTCGTATGACAAAATTATATAAAAATAAATCACACCATTTGTTTTGTAGTAATTTTCTGCAGTTATTTAATTTGGGTATCGCAAATTGCAAAACTATTTTAGGTATATTTGTGAGCTCCACAACTTAACTTGAATCAGCCTAATCAAAATAGAAATGCAAAATTTATGGTGAAAATGCGTAATCCTACATCTGGCTCGAGCCACAATAAGAGTTAATGCCATTTTTTACAATGATAAAAAAAAATCAAAAAATAATGAAAATTGTAGAATATTTCATTGTCTTTCTAATACAACTTGAATCAGTGCAATGAAAGTTTGTATGCAAAAGTTATAAAGAAAATAAACATGTAGCAAGAATACGCAATCTTACGACATTTTTTAAAACAATCCAAATAAAAGATCATATCACATTAAACATGAAAGTTGTATATTTTGTCAACTTTTTTCTAATGCAACTTGAATCGGTGCAATAAAATTCATATAAAAAAATTATCAAAATAAAACTGGTAATAAGAATACGTAATCTTATTTTATTGACACAACAATCCCGGATCAGGTAAGCAATTTGCCTGAAGAACGAGTCCAACAAATACTTGGACATTTAGTTAAAGAAAACAAAATAGAAAAAAATGAGAGGGATGGAGGGAAAAAACGACACTCTTACTACTAACGTAAACCACATGCTTAGACTTATTTTCCTTTTGATCAATTCATCCTACGAACCTACAATTTCACTTAATAAAACATAATTGTTATTCCCTCCATTCCAAATTAAGTGTCACTTTGGGAGTGTTTTTTTGTTCCGTATTCTCTGTCACTCTAGACTTTCAATGATGCATTAATTACTGTTTTATCAATTATGCCCTTATGAATTTTAATTAGTAAAAAGAAAGTTAATGAAACTAAGATTAATGATAGGGGTAGTGTAGTCGCATTATATATATTTTTCTCTAAAATCAACACACATTTATTAATTTTCTTGATAGGTGAGCAACAAACCGAGTGAGTAATGTGTTAGGTAAAATAAGATACAAGCATGAGAACATTTTTTTTTTTTAGCAAAATCATGAGAACATATCCTAGCATCATTTACATGGTACTCGTAGGAACATGAAATAACGTAATATATTGTGGTGCTAAATAACTTTCTTGGAGACCAATTACAACGTGGTTGGTAATTAAGCAACCGTTTTTTCCTCAGCACGAATTAATGTCATCCCTTTAATTGCGACAACCAAGGCAAAACTTTGATGAGTTTAGGTGAATAATCATATGAACGATGAGCCCTTAAATGAGAATTATCCCTTATCTATTGGCATATCAATTTCTCATGCTTTGGTAGTTCAAATCGTAAGTAAAGTTGAGACATCAAATTGTCTTGTGTTTTTTAACGACTACAAATGTTGGACAATAATGTGAATTAAAGATTCCATTTAAATTGATTGTTTTTTTGTTTTTTCACAAAGGATTTGGGGAAAAGAAATATATAAATCGTTTAAAATATATATATATATATATATATATATATATATATATATATATATATATATATATATATATATATAATTGTGCGTTAAATATATAAAATTTATTGTAAAATATTTTCGTTTTGAAAATCCCAATTAATCTTTTATTATGAATTTAAAAATTAAAATCATGTAACTCCAGATGTTTTCATCCAAAATACAATCTAATAGTAAATTGTAAGCTAACAGTAGTTTGATTTTGTTCAATATGTGTAGTATATTTTTGTAGATAATAATCGATATACTTCAATCAAATTTTGATGGGATTATTGGGGAGACTCCTCACTCAACAAATATATACAACTAACCACCAAAAATATTACCGCTATGTTTGGTAAGGTTTTTGAGCTTCCGTTTCTATTTTATTTTGGAAAAGGGATGTTTAGGGGGAAGAATTAAAAAATAAAACACAGTTTGTTTGTGTTTTGAGAGGAGACAATATATACCATAGCAAGTCAAATCATGTCTAAAATGTATTGGAAAAAGTTATTTTTTAAGAAGAATTTGAAAGATAAAGAGATTTTAATTTGTACTTTAGTGAAAACAATTTTCACTGTAGCAGTCAAATCATGTTTGCTAGAGAGATAAATATTTGAATTTTTTGGAGAAATTTTTTGAAAATATTTTAGAAAGATTAATTTTATGATACTCTCTCTCTTTTTTTTTTTTTTTTTTTTTTTGGAATTTCTCATAACCTGGCCATATATAATACATATTATACCTTTAGAGAATTAGATTTAAACTCTAGCCAACGAGAACACTGTCTCTCGTCGAGCTCTTTCTTTTGATAGTAATTGCTTACGGTTTGGAGCTATGAATCTCTTTTTGCAATCGTTTTACGGTGGACGTGTACTTTGACGACAACGGTTCTTCTTGGTGACGTAACTTGTTTTCTTAAGGTCAGAATTTGACGGGTTACCTACCGTTGAATTCCTCTTGTCGAGATCTATCTTTTGGTATTTATTTTTTTCAAATTTAATAGTCATTTATGTTTCTGCGATTTTTTCCATTGCACACTCTAAACATTGGGTGGTTGGCGCCAACTAGAGTTTTGGTAGGAGGTGTGAGGATTTCTTGGCGGGTTGGCAGAAAGCTATGTCCTCTCTCTTTCTCTCCGTCTCTCTCTGAATTTTCTTTGATTTTGAGTATTGTGAAGGTTCGTCATATTTTTGCTAACTTGCTCTAAAACAACACTGTATTTTTCTAAAATTCTAAAAATATTAATTGGAATCATAAACTCTCTGTTACATTTCACCTTTTCAGAAAATCTTTGTTTCAATTTGATGTTCCTACCTGTTGTTTTATTTATCGCGTTTTGTAGATTTCTCTTTCGAATTTTCTTGCATTTTCCTGCAAAATTTCAAAAACGATAAAAAAAATTGTGTAAAATTCTCATCATATATGAATTTGGACAAGAGATTATAACTAATGTAATTTCTGAAAATTTCGAAATTCCACCAATTCCGAGGCATTCTGAAATCGAAATAATTTTTTGCATTTCGATTTTTGTGGAACGGAATTTGG